TGCTTTATGGTTTTCCTGAAAGGTTCAGTTTGTTTATAAACTATTAACAGAGTCAATAAGTTTATAATGGGCCACATGTAAAAATCAATTTCTCTGGAAGAAGAAAGCAACAAATTGTGGCCTTTTAAATAGGTAAGTGGATGTGGGAGACCTACCCAAGGCACTGTTATGGGGCCATTCATGTAGTTAAAGACTAAATGTGATCTCAATGAACTCAAGGACAGTTTAGGAGAACCATCCATACATAATCTGATTACGCTTAGAAAGCTGATGCATCACAACATCAGTGTGCCATATGCTAGTAATGATGGGTCTTTCACCTCCTCATGCAAGGAGAGCTATTAAATTTCGGAGGCTGTTCTTCAAACGAGAGCACTTTAGGAAAATACATTGCCCACATCCTTACTGAAAGCAATTTACTGCAACTTCTCTGCAGGGAGCCTGAGGTTTGAAAAGTGGCAAATCCTCAAAGAGCAAAGGAGGTCAAGTACTAAGGTTGGGACTTGAAAAGCACAGCTTTTGGAAAACTAGGGGTAAGAAGTCTGAAAAGCAAATAGGACGAGACAGCATGGGGGCAGAGGAAAAGAGAGAGGTTTGCTCTCACATCTGAGGGGCGAGGCTCTGAGACAATGATTTACTCAACAACTGGAAATCAAGCACAGGATGGACTCTGAACAATGCATAAAGAAGACCAGACAGGTAAGGTAGCACATGCAGCAAAACACAGGGAGGTACAGTTATTGCTTCATCTAAATCTTCCTTTTCTCATGCTAACTAGAATGAGGAGAAATTGCTTTGGCACCCTTGCAAAAACCTGATTTGTTTGCCCTGCTACCACATGCCATGGAAAATATGAACTATAAATGCAGTGAATGATCGAGGCCCTGCAAAAAGGTTTGCATCAGCTCCTGACAAGAGGAAGGCTGGCTGGATTGCAAGGTAAAATCTGTCAAAGCATAACAAGAGTCCACTTTCTCACTCGCAGAAGGAGAGCAAGGGGGTTTGCGGCCAGCAGACCTAGTGCAGTGAGGCCAAACACCATAACCAGTGCTGGAGCTCACACCATGAGAGCAGGCACAGGAAGAAAAGGCCATTTCACCAAGAGAAGGTAATTTCACAAGGCAGGACTAAACTTAAGCGCCACAACCCTGGTCAAATACCAAGCTGTAGTCCACTTTGCCTCTGCTTTACTTTACATCCTTCCTTCCTTCCATAACAACAAGCTACCGCTGAAATACGTGATGTTGTCTGGATGATTTGGACACTCATTTCCCCTCCAGTTCTAACAGGTCTTCCAGAGCAACTACTGGTCTTTGAAAACCTCATCCTATATAAAGACCAACCTCTTCATAAATCACTAAACAAAG